CCCCAAAACCCCAAAACCCCAAAACCCCAAAACCCCTAATCGAACAAAATGTTTTGAATATTATCCAATTAATTGTAAAGATGCCTACTTGTGCAAATTACCAACTTATCAAAGTCCTTGGAAAAGGAGGATTTGGCATGTAAATTTATCTTCATAATTAAGAACAACATTTCACTGTTCTAGTCATTTAGATCTTTGCTTTACCAACTAATATTTTTATAGTGTCTATTTTGGACGCCATATCGAAACAGAAGAAAAAGCAGCGATTAAGATCATTCATAATCACACCATGGGAAATCATTTAGAGTTAATAGAGAAAGAAGTTGAAGCTTTAAGAACATTGTCACATCAGAATATTACAAAGATTCTTGATTCTGGGATCTCAGAGCTTGTAACATCATCAAAATCTAAAGAAGTATACTTTATAGCTCTTGAATTAGCACATGGAGGAGAACTGTTTGATTTCTTGATGGTAACAGAACCCTTCAATGAGATGGTAGCCAGATACTTCTTCCGTCAGCTGATAGAGGGCCTTGAGTATATGCATTCAAAAGGCTACAGTCACAGAGACATGAAAGCAGAGAATATTCTTTTTGATAAAGATTTTAATCTAAAAATAGCAGATTTTGGAACATCTTCAAAAATCCAGGTCAACAAGACCATGGTGGGCACTCAAAATTTTATGGCTCCTGAAGTTTTAGCAAACAAAGAATACCACGGTCATGCTATTGACATCTTTGGAGCAGGACTCATCTTGTTCCTCATGGTAACCGGAAGTATTCCTTTTGAGCGTGCTGAAAAATCTGATTCATTTTACACACATTTATATTATTGCAAATCATCTAAATTCTGGAAGAGTCATTCTCAAGAAGGAGAAGGCTCTTTATCAAAAGAGATAAAAAGCCTAATCTCAGATCTATTCAATCCTCACCCAATCAGGAGATTATCCATTTCTGAAATCAAAACTCATCCTTGGTATGAAGGAGAGGTACCGGATTATGATGAAATTCTTGAAGAGTTTAAGACAAGGAAGCAAACCAAAGAAGAAAAAGAACTAGAAGAATCTAAGTTAGCAGCCCAAGAAGTTCCTGATGAAAATACAGATAGAGACGACAGTGTTTTTGATGGAAACATATCAAGAGGTATTGGAGAAAGCGATAGTGAGGATAATGTACCTGAGATTGACCGTAAATGCTTAGAGTTTGATCCAGATTTCTCTTCTCACACCAAATTTTTCAGTACTTGTGACCTTGAAGATCTATGGTACACAGCTGCTCAATTTGTCAAAACTTACACAAAAGATGTGACTTTTTCTAGCACAGAGTATAATTTGTGAACTAGATGGATACATGGTCTTGAAGGTAAGCTCTAAACTAAAGTGCTAATTTGATAGATGAGGAATGAGATAACTTAGACAACGCAGTAAACGAAGCATCAATCCATATTCTAAAAGTTAATGATGTTGGAAAATACTGAGTAGAAGCTTTCCTACTCTGCGGATCAAAGCCTGAATTTCATGTCTTCTACAACAAAATGAAGATAGCATTTTTAGGAAAGATAAATTGAAGCCAGGACGACTAATTCTCGTTTTAAAACTTCCTTTAGATTTCTTTTTAGTTAAACTAATATCCTCGAAGATTAAGAAACATGAATTTTACAGTAATGTTGCAATAGATAAAAAGAACCATAATATTCTTAAGAATCTAAAGGAAATTTTAATATTTCTTAACTTCAATAAGAAGAATATGATATGGGGTTTTGGGGTTTTGGGGTTTTGGGG